CTTCCCACATCTCTTTTCCTTCCGTGGGCTGAGATGCCTTTTGCATGATGTTGTCTCGGCCAGGAGTCAGCAACCCATGCCTCTGGAGCCGCAGGTGGCTCCTTCATCCCTCTGCTGTGTCTCCCTGTTGCTCAAAATATGCGTCACTTATTTTGTGAGACACCCACTGGCCAGCGATTTATTGAGCTTTTCGACACCCAGTAGACCAACCATGGATAAATCCAAGAAAAGTTTCAGAAGAAAACGGAACTTTTAATTCAACTACATGTGGCTGCTCAGGAAACAGTCAGGCCTGGGAAGGGTTTTTATCGCTCCCGATGTTTTCTGTGGGAAATTGGTCCAAATGACTCTGAGTGTTTGAGGTTGCCAATCCCTGGTCTAGGCTACACTTCTTCCTCCTCCTGTCTCCCCAGGTCATTCTCACTTGCCGTTATATGGATTGAGGTCTAAACCACAGCATCTGTGTGGCAGGGACCCTCCTCAGAAGACCGTTAACAGCCCCACTGCCTGCAAAACTTTGCTAGCTGACCCTGGGATCTGTGCAGAACCTCTTCCCAAGTCTCTGAGCTTCGCTGTCTCTCATCTGTTGACTCTTACCTTGACAAAAGTGTTTTCCTGCAATGGATTCAGAACAACGTCTTCCTTGAAATTCTGCCCTTGCTTTCCAGTGCCTTGCCACGCCCACGGCCTTTCCTCACCCTCTTTCCAAGATGCCTCCTCACCTTGGCACGAAGACGAGCACCCCGTTGGTTCGGATTGAATAGATCACGCCGTCCGCTGAGCGCTGCTCCTCCCTTGCAGGACTCTTGTCACTGAAGAACATGCACTGGAAGAGCCCCGTGGACTGTTTCTGAACATGCTGGGCCGCCTTTCCGAAGAAAGCAATTCCAATTAGCCACAGAAGTTGCTCTCAAGACCATTTAGAGCAGGGGGGGGGGGTCCCCAACCTTGGCAACTTTTAAGACCTGTGGACTTCAACTCCCAGAATTCCACAAGCCTTAAAGGTGTCAAGGTTGGAGATCCCTGATTTAGAGTCACGGTCTCAGATAGCGTCAAATCCGGTACCTCTAATGCTGCCTGTCCCTTTCTTTGGCTCCTGTCCCTTTGGCAGCAGTATCTGAACTGCTGGTCTGTTCTGTTCCAACAAGCAACTCAGTACCCTTGAAACAGAAAATTCACTGTGGCTATTTAAAATGGAAAATCAGGATTAGAGAGCCAGTTTGGTGTTCTGGGTAAAGCAGCAGGCTAGAATGTCAGCCTTCAAGATTTTCTTCCTCTGCTTTGCATCTTTCGGCTGTCATAAGTAACGGGGGGAGGAGGGGGGAAAGGTATGGGAAGTGAGCTGGAGGTGTTGCAAACTACTACTGTATAAACTGAGGAGGCGGGAGAGTACATTCTTGCTTAGGTTTCTATTTCTTGCTTAGCTTTCCTTTCTCTGCGCAGCTGCAAACCTTTATCGAAGTATGCCAAGGTCAACGGACAGAAGCCTCATCACCACCTGAAGATGTCCACATGATGACATGCACAACTTTTAATTGGAAGAACCATTTGAACTATTGGGGGTGGGAACGTTGCCATCACTTTGTGTCTGTGATTTACGCACCTATTTCCCCAGATTCAGAATTCTTTTGTTGCTACCACTTGACTTCCAGTAAAAGATATATTTTCTCGAATCGAAAGAGTCTAAGTATTTCTTTCTTGGATTTTGAATGGAGCACCAGCTGACATAGAAACTGGGAAGAGGAGGGGGGGACAGCCAGGGAGGACGAAGAGGGAATCAGTAATGCTGCGGTCACTGGCACACAGGAAACGGGACAGACGGGAAGTCCTTCCTGGCTGAAACAGTCACACGGTTAAGTCATGTGGTTTAGTTTAGTTGACTTCATTGCCATTGCACCTCATAAAATGAAATTAAATGTCATCTTCAGTGTACATTATACACAAACTAAAAATAAAACACAAACACACACCCTTCATATTCTATGCAATTGAATTGAAAACCCCTGATACTGCATTAATATTGCACTATGCAGTAGAATTCAATAGAGTTACTGCCCTGGGATGGAAGCTGTTTTTCAGCCTATTTGTCCTTGTTTTCATGATCCTGTACTGTCAGAATATAGTCATTAACTGGCAGAGACATGGTTAATGAAGTAAGCATGGCAACAGACCAGCCAAGGGGAGCTCACAGCCTGGGTGTGGTTTGGCTCTGTGTGCTTTGCTGAGAACTGAAAGTGAAACTAGTCTTGCTTGCTTGCTGAAACTGATATCTGCACTGAGCTGCTGCTGCTGCTTGTGTTTTTGCTTATATTACGTTGACAGAATCTACAAATAGTATTGTAAATTTTACTCATTATTATGTTTATAAAGAAGTTAAGGATCCTGCTTAATCAGTCATCTGTGTGTTTTCTGGACTTGGAATTTATGCTGCAAACTCTAATGTACTGTCTGCCAGATGGTAATAGTTCAAAAAAAGGGTGCCCAGGATGAGATGGATCTTTAAGAATGTTTTGAACTATATATAAAGCTCTTCCAAAGAGGGGAGAGGGCAACCAATGATCCTCTAGGCAATGATGTTAAACCCTCTGGAGTGCTTTCCTATCTGCCACTGTGCAATTGGCAAACCCTACAGAGGTGCAGTAAGTTAAGATACTCTCTGTGGTGCAGCGGTAGAAGGTCACCAGCAGTTTTCCATCCAGTTGTTGTTTTCTGACACGTCTCAGGTAGTATAATCTCTGCTGGGCCCTTTTGACCAGGGCTGCAATGTGAGCATCCCAGGTCAGGTCCTCTTTCATGGTAACACCCAGAAACTTAAAACTGGCCACTTGCTCCACTTGTTTGTTTTGATACTCATTGTTTTTAGTCCTTGTTGGACCGCAAATCAAGTATCGAGGTACCATTTTAGACAGAATACTGTCATTCATGGAACATCTCCAGAATTGCTACAGTGAAAAGGTTTTCAAACCTCAAGCACGCTTCTCTCTGTCTCGGGTTAAAGCATGGATAACAGAAAATTGGTCTGTAGCCTTACCCGGTTCCTGTTGTTGATATGTCTGCATAGTTCTTCAAGTTCTTTATTGCCGAGCAAGCCGTCTCTTGCACCAACTCCGTCTTCTTCTCTTGAGGTGGCTGCTAACAAGAGTCTGTGGACAATGATATCTGCGTACCTCCTAATGGGCGACGTGAAGTGGGTGTATTTATCTAGAGCAAGACCTAAGGTAGAAAGGACACTAATAAGCCCAAAGTCCACAAGACCAGGTGCAGAAATAAGAAACAGACACGTCGCCCACATTACAGCAAATACCGTAATGGAAGAAGTCTTCCTCGGGACACGATCCAGTTGAAAAATAGACCGCGTTGGACATGGCTTGGGTGACCATAGACCTCAACAGCTGGTTTACCAGGGGGTCAGAAGAGTCCACCGCTCTGTCCAGAGAGTCAGCTAATGCCTTGTTAGACCTGTCAAAAAAATAAAATAAAGTTACTTCTCTTAATTGCTCAATGCCATTTGTGGACTTGTGGACTTCAACTCCCAGAATTCCTGAGCCAGCTATACATGGCTGGCTCAGGAATTCTGGGACTTAAAGTCCAAAGGTCGTAAAGGGGCCATAGTTGTTGAGCCCTGCCCAATAAGAGTTTTGAAGCTGATAACTATAATAAAGCCAGCAGTGTGCGACGGCAGACCAAAAAAACCCCATGCAGTCCTAACTTGCATTAACAGAGGCAGAGGTGATATTCAGCCGGTTCGGACCGGTTCTGGTGTACCAGTAGTGGAAATTTTGACTAGTTCAGAGAATCAGCAAAGGCCACCTCTGGCTGGCCCCACCCACCCGCACCCACCCTGACATCTCCTATATTCCCTTTGGTTTTTTTAACTCAGCTGATGTGCGCCTCAGCTGAGCTAAAAAACAGCACAGCTCACCAGCGTTGATACAAAGGCCCTGCGTGCTTTGAGCTCTGCGTGCGCATGAAGTGTGCGTTAGGTGCGCGTGTACAGCTCACCAGTGTTGATATAGAAGGCATTCTTTCAGTCCTGTGCACATGCACGCTCCTTGAACCCCTAGGAAAAAAATTTGGAAACCCACCACTGAACAGAAGGATACAATCAAGATCAAGGGAGGAGCTAATTCCGCTCTATAAAGCCTTAGTAAGGCCACACCTAGAGTATTGCGTCCAATTTTAGTCACCGCACTATAAAAAAAATGTTGACACTCTAGAAAAAGTGCAGAGAAGAGCAACCAGGATTGATTTCAACCATGCCCCATTTTTGTGAGCACAGACACTGCGGGCTGGTCCTTTGCTATTTCCAGGCCGGCCCTGCGGGCTGCATTTAAGCAGCCTGCGGGCCAGATACGGCCCACGGGCCTTGAGTTGGACACCCCTGGCCTAGGCATATTTGAACATAGCTCCTATTTTCTGGGGTTCCATTCATCTAGTTGAAATGTTAATTTATACCGCTCGTCCACGTGCAATATGCCGTACCCTAAACAAACAATAAATCCACTTACCGCGTGTCAATCGAAAAGCCTTTTGCCCCGGCACATTCTCGGACCTCGGAAAAAAATTCCTGCCGGGGTGGCGGGTGCTGACGAAGCAGCGCCTGATGCGGGAACACCTCCCAAATCTTCTTGGCCACCCAATGGTTTGCCAGGATCATGCACTCGGCTATCGTCTCGTGGACTTCCAGCGGCTGGCGGGGGATCAGGTCGTCGATGTTCTTCTTGTCGTCCAGCTGAACCCTGATTTCCACCCCTTCCAGCTCCAGGGCTCCGTAGCTGCTCCGCCTGGCTCGGAGGTGGCGGGCAACGTCAGTTAGCTTCCTGATGGCCCACATCAGCTCGTCTAACTTCTGCCTCCGGGTATTTTCCTCCATGCCTTTGAGCTCCAGGATTTCCGCTGCAGCAGTCAGGTCTTCGTCTAGCAAAGCCTGGGCGGCCTCGTAGAAGAGTTTGTAAGAAGAGCGAATGATGGTTCTCTTGTACTGGACTCTCTTTATTTCGTAAGAGGCCTTGTCCAGTTCCCAGATAACGCTCAGGGCATACCTGAAAACAAATATTCAAATCATCCCCGATGAAGGTACTTACAAGCAGTGTGTCAGGGCTCCAAGTAATACACCCATAGCGCTGGTCGCAAGGAGCTGATAAGGCTTAAAACTCACCTGTCCACGTTCCCAAGGAGAGAGCATAAATTGGCACTCAAGACGGCGGGCAACATATCGTAACGACGGTCAGCTAAGTAGTAAGTAGTAGCCCTGAGAAATCGGGAGTAAAAGTACTCAGTGGTTGTTTTTTTTCTGTCACCATACTTTTTGAAGCTTAAAAACAACTAGATAC